AATCATAAGAACTCTTTTCGTGAATCACTTGCTCCTATGAAATTTATAAATTTCATTTGAATAGAAGTCAAAATAAAACACTGCACATGAACGAATTCCCTTGTTATTTTGAATTATGTTTGATCGACAAATGTATTCTTTGATTTTGAATTGCTAGGCACAAAGTTCTGCGAAATAAAACGCACCATTTATATTATTTTTTATATGATAAAAAAAAAGTTAAGTTGTTCAGGTCTCTGGCTGCAATCCGACTAAAAATATGCAATGCTTGTTTCTTCGTGACGGACGATTTTCAATATTCATGTGATGTGTTTGTGTGTATTTCTTTCCCAAAAGAAACCAAAAATATATATAAATCCAGTATTGCGGCCGCTTGACGACTTGTTTCTATTTCAAATGTATATCGATATTTTGTTGTTGTTGTTGTTGTTTTTATATGTTGCTTGTTTTGCTTATTTCGTTATTCAATTCAAATAATTATTGATTTTTAATTTGTATATATATTTCATTATCTCATAATATCCGGTGCAATATGAATATCGTGAATTGATTGCGAAAAAGCGAAACAGAAAAAAAAAACACACACACACACCAACAATGTAACCGTCGATGGAATCGCAAACAGAAATGAAAATCAATGCCAAAATGTATGTCTCTACTTTGTTTTGTTTCGTCTTTGGCGGTTTGTTGAAATATTTGAAAATGGCCCAAAAATGAACGAAGAACGAAAAAAAAGCCACAAAAATCAATTGTGAACAACAACGAGAAGAATGCGGTAAATGTGCTGTATTGTCGAATGCACACGGCCATAAAATTCGGTATATTAATTGTGTATGCGAACAAGTACCCGATAGTTTTTAACACCGATATCGATGGATTCACGATAGACCAACGAGAAAATATGAACCGACAAAAAAATAGAATTGTTTTTTTTTGTATGTTTTTTTTTTTAAAAACGAAAGAAAAAACAAGAAGAACTGTGTTTTAACTATATGGCTTAGCACAATATCACGAATCCACTACCGATCACTTGGACAGTCGATTTACTTGTGTACCTGCTTTTGTTTTCTTCGCACTGGCGAGGCGCGCTCAAATCTATTGTTTGGCATTACACGATGTTACGTGTTCACAGTTTAACGGGCCAAAAACACAATCATACCCCAACAAAACTGACATACACACGTATATATATCAGGCCGTCTTCTCTCCACACACACACACACACACACACACACACACACACACACACACACAC